ATTAAAAATTAAAAAATATAAAAGTTTGCAATTAAATTAATTTTATTTTTAAATTGAAATTTTATTAAAATAAAATTTTTTACTTCTAAATTTTTAATATCCAATTAATATAATTAAATGAAAGGATTTATAATTTAAAGAGGATTATTATATAAAATTTGAATTGTAATTTTCATTTTATCGTTAAAATTATTTGATTTAATATAAATAATTTTTTAGACGTTGATAAATTAATTATAGTTGAAGTATCTGGAAATATTCTAATTAGAAAGAATTTATCAATAAATTTTTAAATGTATATCTTTGTCTTTAATTAATATATTTGGATTTTAAAAAATCTATATAACTAAATACTAAATCACAATAATATTTTAATGAGTAATCGCTATTTTTTAATAAGCTAGAAGTGTATGCTATCTATACTTTATTATAGAGTATAATGTGCTATTAACCTTATATTTATTTGCAGGATCAAAGATCTGAGATGAGGCCTTTGCTAGTCAAAAATATCAATAGAAGCTCTATTCGCCTCAAAACTCGTAAAAATATATGAGTAAAATTTAAGAAACATTTTTTTTCCATCGTTTTTCTTAAATTTAATCATATTTTTTATGTAAATAAATAAATTTTGGGCCTCTCTACGTCCGAAATTCGGGGCAAATGGCTGTATTGACTCCCTCTTCTATCTATAACTATACATCTGCTATATATAAGTCTTTATAGTCATATTTACCTATATACATATATGTCTATACAGACTCATATACAGCAGATATATATCTGTATATACCGCCTATTGAACAGTATGAAATTAAATTATTATTTAACTATGTACGTATGTTGGAAAACAAATAACATAAAGATGTTTATATTATATCTTTAATGTATTAAAATATGATTACAAATTCAAGTTCTACATTTAAACAAAGATTTCTGATCAATGAGAATTGAAAATGTTGACAATATTTTTATATATAGAAACATAATCGTGATATATATCATAATTAATTATAAGTACTTATTTATTTACGAAATATATTTATTATTATTATTATTATTTATTTTAAATTTTGTAACTTAACCAGATATGTTTTAAAGCAGTTTCTCTAGCAGCCTACTTGTACAAACGACAACGGAAAGAAAACATGAATATCATTTCATGTACTGCAGAGAAAGAAACTAAACAGCTGCATGTGACTCACGAATCATGATTTGGCTACGCCTGATACATATAACTTTCCCAATTTTTCTGTTTATTAAGTCATATCTCTATACATTTCTCTTTCGTATATAATGCCTCTATATCCTTCCATAGTAGAGTAAACTATGCAGCATATTTTCGAATAAATATGCATTAAATTTATGCAAAAATAACTTTTAAACACATCTAGATATACGTAGAGATATTTCAGAAAGTTTCGCAACCTTTAAATATTCAAATATTATAATTTAAATAATGTAAACTACATTAGCGTGACTAGATTGTGAAGATATGTATTATATTAGCTCAATATAAATTTATTATATATTTTTAAAATTTATTTATTGATTGGAAAATACAACGTAACTGAATGTAAGTACAAATATATATATATTTAATCACTCTTTACAGTGTCTAACTCCCGCTAGAGTATTAGACGTCTTATCTTTATCTGCAGCATCTCCAACGTTGCATGTATCCCATATCAGGAAGCTCTCGGTACTCTTCTTGTACCACGTACTGACTTTCGAGATATCTTGTAAATCCGAAACCAATTTTCCTCTTAATTATGACTTTTATAAGTCACAAATCGAAAATTTGCTGTGTAAAGAAGTTAATGATGATAACTCGACTAGAGAAGTGGATAAGCAGCAAACTGGAAATCTCTTGAGAAAAGTGGAGCTTGTGTATTATCCTGAAAAATTATCGGAAGTGAGAGATGTTTTACGTAATATAAAGATTTTAGAATGAGTTTTAGTATAACAATTTTATAAATTATAGGACTTTTTCTTTTTTTAAATTAGTGTATCACCTTGAACAGCATCTGGGATGCTTTGGATAAAACGGAAAAGAAGAAAGATGTCGCCTTACTATCGAGTCTACTTCTCGGTTATCTTTTAGATGGTATATATATATAAATTATTTATTATTACATTTAATTAATCTAATAAAATAAAACGTCAAATTAATTAATTAATAATAATGATAATAATAATAATAATAATCATTTGAAATTGTAATTTTTCATTTGTTCATATTTAATTAACTGGCTGATGTTTAATATTCAACGTCAAATCAATTGTAATGAAGTCTTTTCCCTTTTGTAAATTACCGAATTGATATATAATTCTTCTTATTTTAAAGGAAACTGCATATCAATTGTTGGAACTTACATGGATTTCATTAATGATGTCTTTCGTGCGTATTCCCAGAAATGTACTGGAAAAATGTTCTTATCTGGTGGGAATTTTATTCATTTTAATTATTATTATTATTATTGTTGCTCTCCTGAATGGAAATATAATAATTTCATATCATGCTCTTAAAGGTATGGAAAAAATAATTGATGATGTCGTTAAACGAAATCGTGGAGAGGAAGTTGATAGAGAGGAAGAATGCATTCCCGAACGGACTAGTGCTTATACTTCGAACGATAAAATTAAAGTGAAAGTGGATTTTTCTATCACGAATCAAACCGAAGAAGAAATTTCTACCGACAATAAATCCATAACGAAAAATAATAACGAATTTTCAAATTCTAGAATTAAAAGAAGTGATGGAAACCTCGATAAAACGATTTTAAATCACTTTTACGATTACGATTTATCTAAAAAGGTAAATGCAATTATCTACATAAATTAAAAATAATAATTTATATATGTTAATAGGTCATATTTGATAATTAACTGAAATAGAGGAGTTTGTTTATGCCTACGTGTTTTGTATATATTATAATGTAAAAGCCTTCATATCTTTGTTTAATGTGCCAAGCGCATCTGCTTTTATTTTAATGTGGTTTTCTCAATTAATTTCTATTTAAATAAGTATTTTTTATATATTTATTTAAAGAGGTTAATGTATTTGTATTTTTGTTTATCTGTTGTTAAAAATTCAAAATTTTTGTATTATTTTTCCCTAAAAAATACCATTATTATTAATAATTAGCTTATATCTAATTTATTCCTTAGCTTTCTCCGTTGATTACAGTTGAGAAATTAAATTACACAAAGATTATGCGTTATTAAATATATTCATCTAACCCTCTAACATTCTAAATGCATACATTATTTATAATAGTATGTATGCATGAATAATATAATCGTACTATACATAAGTCTATATATATTATCAATATTGATTGATATCTTTTGTGCTTAGTTTTTTACAAATTGTTAATTTTTATTTTTATTCCCTTTTATCTCGATAATTTTACAGTCTAATAGCAGTTTTAAGATCGCGCGAGGTCCATTTTATATAACATAAAGTCTAGGAAGGATCCTAAACCTTATACACACGCGTAATTTGGACTTGTATGCGTATATGATGAGGTCGTTACTAGTGGTGATATACAGAATATCTTAACTATATTTGCACGTGTTTAAGGCCCATAAAAATGGAGGCTTCTGTTGCCTATACAATGTTTACATTCATTTCTATAACAGTAAATAGGTTATTTATATCCCCTAGATTTGGATTAATTTTGTTTAAAGGAATTTCATAATCATTTAAGATAATTATTATAAAATATATATAATCTGAGAATTTCGTCACATTTCGGCAAAATTCGGCAATAACATAAATTTACATATTTATTTATTTATTTTTTAGCTTCGTAATTATGCCAATTCAATAACTTTATTTATAACTGTTTGTGCTACAATTTAATAACAGGATAATTCAGTTATTACTAATTGATAGTAGGATTATCAGAAGACAAGATTTATGATATATATATATTAAATCTATTAGTTAGCATAATAAATAATCCTTTAACAGTGTTGGCTGACTGAAGACATATTAGAAATTTTCGGTAAGCAAAAAGACAAAAACATAAATAAAGCAGAATTTCATCAACTCTGTCCAGCTGTCTTGCAACAAATAAGCATCGGATGCTACAAAATAACAGTGACGGCATCAGTTCTAGACAAAGACGTTGCTCTGGGTTCTCGTAAGTTATACCCCAATATTTTTTGTGTCAAAGGATGTTACGTGCTGTTTATAACCTATTTATTGATATTTACAGTGTATGGTTACAGTTCAGCAGCTGTTATACTGATTTGTCTCTCGTCTCTTGTTGGACTTCTATTGTTACCCATCCTCTCCAGTAACGCTTATCATTACATAACGGCTGGATTTATGGGTTTAGCTTTCAGCACTATGACGTCGGATGCTCTTCTTCATCTCATTCCTCAAGTAATTTAATTATTGTGACGTTATTAGGCATTAAATCTTGATTACATATATATTTTCTTTGTTTGCTAGGTTTTGGGAAGCGACCAGGGGCACCTAGATGGTTCTACAGGGGATGATTTATACATTTGGCATCAGATGACGGTCATTTTGGCAATTTACTTCATGTTTCTCTTCGAGGTAGTCAGCGAAATCGTCATCAATAGAAAGACCGAAATGGTAAGATTTCTCAACTTCTTCTTACTTTTGCTGCCATCTAGCGTGTTGAAATGGCACTCAAGTTTCCAAAATTTTCCGGTCTTTTAAGTAAATTTGCTTATGCATATTCTTCAATTTTCATATTATAGTATTTTAGCACTCTTAAATTTAAGCATGTGCTTAACAGCATTAAACGTCTCTAAAGCTTCTGTGGCTTGAAATGCTTACGAATTTACGACGAAAATGTATGTTTCTAACAAAAAATAAAATAAAATAAACCAAATTACTTTTCTAAAGACCCTTCTCTCGCCTATTGTCAGAATCGACACATATCTTCACGCATATAATAGCCTCAATGGCGCTTGCAATATCAAATATTTTCTCGATTATGTTTGACATGAAGATGACATTCAACGTTCAATTACTAAATTTTTTGGGTTTCAGAAACCAATGCTGAAGTCTATGTATTATATCCCACAGACTGAAGAAGAACCCATTCTTCCGATTGTTAATCTAAAGAGCATGAATGCCATTACATCTACATCAGTTAAAGAAAAGGCGGATTCTCAAACAGAACATGTAAATATAATGTTTAAAAGCCTTCATTACGTAACAGGTAAAGGACCTAAATTTGCTAATTTACAGATTACTAAAAGGCCTCCTTCTGTCGCTTTCATCCATCACGAAGAAGACGAACCGAAAAGAGAGAAGCCGATATTGCCTTCAGCCAATCTATGCTTTAGTAAGTATTTACATATATATTGAATGTCGTAAATATCCATTAACTGATCCATCACTTTAATAGATCTAGTGCAACTAGCTAGATCCATACAATGCTAGTTACTTGAAGTCTACGAATCCAAAACATTGTTGAAAGCTCAGATTATTTAATGGAAGCCATAGAATTGTTTGTTAAAAAATAATTCGTTTTTATAGATTTATCTTCCATTGCTTGGATGGTATGTCTGGGTGACAGTTTTCACAATTTCACAGACGGTTTAGCTATTGGTGCAGCGTTTCAATCCAGTTTGCAAAACGGGCTCTTCACCTCTTTAGCCATCTTATGCCACGAAATCCCTCACGAATTAGGTAACTTACCTCGAAATTCTTGCCCCCAATATCAGAAAAAGTTTAAAAATTCTTAATAACAACTATAAATTCTTATAGGAGACTTCATCATTCTACTTTCAACTGGATTATGTTTCAAGAAAGCGGTCATCATCAATTTCATATCTGCTCTATTCTGCTTTATCGGTTTGTTCATAGGTTTGCAATTAGCTAATGATTCCGAAACTAGAAAATGGATCATGTCAGCAACAGCAGGGATATTTCTCTACATTGCAATCTCAGAAATGGTAAGTCTAGTTATAAATTCTGAAAACACAATCCTAATTTAAACTGATTGTATCATTTAACAGTTACCAGAATTGAAGAAAAACAGGGGCCTGAATCCTGCTAAGATGTTAGTCATCAAGAATATAGGAATTATTGTAGGATTGATATTTACTTTGTTCATAGCAATCCTTGAAGGACAAGCTCATTGAATGTTTCACAAATATTTAAAATTATGTAAATAGTAATAATATTTTCGGGTTATTGTAAATATTAGAAAAGTTATCGCTGTTGTTGCACTGTAAAAGTGGACTTTAGCAATCATTTTCTTTTATAAATTTTAAAATGTATTTTTTTAAATTATTAAATTCTTGTCATAAATACATTTATTAGTCTTTAGATATTTATTTATATTTTAAAATTAAATATTGTTGTAAAAAATTGTTAATTGTGAAATTTGAAATTGTATTTATGAGTGAATGATATAATAAAAAAATAGTTAATTATAAAATAATTATTTTTTCATAAAGGAATTTATTTTTAAAAAAAATACATTTATTAGATTAAATTTCTTTATTTGTTTAATAAATTAGTTATTATATTCCTAAACTTACATAAAAACTCATTTAATATTTTAACGATTTATTTAAATATTAAAAAATTAATTAGTTTTAATATTTATAACAATCTTATTATATTTTTTTTAATATAAAAAACAAAAATTATGTCATTTCGTAGAAGACATAATTGATCTTTCCAACATCAGATGGCAGCACTCTCCAAAAAATTGCCATTTTAAAATTTGTATTTTATTGAGATAAAAAATATATAAAAAATAAAAAATAACAATAATTAAAATACAATTTATTATATACTTATTTTAAAAATATTTTAAACAAAAAAATTAATTATAAATATTTTATTATATTTTAAAAAATGAAGGAAAAATTCTCATTTTTTAAAACTAAATTTTAATATAGAAAAAATATTAACTCTTATAAATTCTTGCTACGTTCTTGTTTTTTAATAAAAATGCATTTTTCTCCTTTATTCTAGAGTTATCCATCACAATTTCCCTCACACTTCCTCTTTACAGTAACATTTCAGCTCTATTCTTCAAACTCTTACAAAGGTTAAAAAATAAAAAATAAATAAATAAAAATAGTTTTAACAGAATTTGTTCAATAAATACTTTTATTAAACATTACACTTGTTAAAAGAAAACTCCCCCCAAAAGAAAATCAATAGTCAGTAACAAGAGTAATATTAAGTACAGAATGTTAAAAAAGAAAGGGGGAAGACATAACAAGTTGAGTTGGACGCTTATAAATAGAGAAAAACTCGCTAATTTTCGAGAAGAAAATGAAGTGTAGTCATTCATCTCGAGTGTTTAAAAGCAGAAAACAAAAAAGTGTATCTTGACACATGCTGGATTCATTGTAACTAGGGCTTCAATTTTCTATTCCGAGCAACCAATTTTTCATTCCTTTATCCTATCCGATAACACTACGCTACGTACGGTAAGGTCACACCAATCAAAGAATGATGCTGCACGAGCCAGCTTCTGTCCATCATCTTAGCAAAATCTTCTCCCTCAACGATCTTTTCCGTTCACCGAGTTATTAGGGATTATTTATGAGCCAGGGGATCTTATTACGTTTACCCCGAATGCTAGTATCGAGCTTTGACACCAAAAGGCGGCTTCCTACAACGTATAATGCGCTCTCTATCTCTCTCTCTCTCTCTCTCTCTCCCCCATCTACTACTACAATTCGATTATATTAGCGATTCCCAGTTAGGCGATTAGTGTTGATAATTTAATCGATTTTTTTCGCCCCTCTTCTTTGACTTCTTCTTTTCCCACGTTGTTATTCCATGTTTATGATAGCGAGTGTGACTTTTTGGATGGGGCGAGAAGAATTTGATAAAGGATGAGTGGGATGATTTAAGTAAAAGAGAGAGACGAGGGAGGGTAATGCGAAAATGCGCGAGATTTTTGAATGATGGATAGGTGCCGTGACGAATGAAAACGTTAAATTGAATCATGGAAATGTGGGGTTGATGCTTTGTATTAAACATGCGAAAGTCTAAGTAGGGGGGATGGTGCAGATAAATGATTGGCGTCTTGAAATAATTAGCGCGAGTGTTAAATTGTCTAGTGTTGTGAGATTTAATGGGGATAAATGACTAAAAACGAACCAAAACGGGGACTTAAACATTATATTTTAGTGTTTTTAACGCTTTAATTTAATTTTTATGATAAAAAAAATCCCATTTAGAATAGCCAAAACGTAAAAAATTCTAAGTTATATGCAACAATATATATGATGTATAAAAAAAAGTCAATATAGTTAAATTCAAAGTATTTTTACATGTAAATTAACTAAAAATTTAATGGAACGTATTGAAATTCTATAAATAATTTAATTTTATAAAGTATTTAAATAAATTAATTTCGTTAAATTACGTAAGAATCCAATGTAAGAAACTATTAAAATTGTCGACTCTACAAATCATTAGAGATATCAAACACATTTCTAAAGCATTACCAAGAATCATTCAAGTGATCTTTAAAGACTAAATCATCTACATATATTATGTAAAGCAATCTTTCTCAATCTGGGACACTAGAAATGAATGAAATAATCAAGAACAAGTGACAAAAAGTTGAATTAATTAGACTTAAATAAAACTTTTTAAAAATTTTTATTTCAATTGTTGGATATTCTTATAAGTAAATCTAACTTAAAAATCGAAAAAAACCTTAAAGGCCCATATTCTTTATACTTATAAGCTGTTAAAAATAGAGGGTGGCCCAAAAGTCAATAAACCATTACTAAGACTAAATTTCTGCCTTATTTAAATATTTTATTACTTAAAAAAACTTTGCATAAGCTTTTCGAAATGAGGTCCTTCTTGTTTGATACCAAAATTGCTGAATTGATATTTAAAAAAATGCGGTTAACTGACTTTTGAGTCATCCACAAGTTTTATGAGTTACGCGTGTCCTTATTAAATCTTCTTTCCACCCAAAAAATAATTTAAAATAAATTATAAAGTAATTTTTAATCCACAAATATATTTATTAAAGGGAAAGGGTGTTTATTAAGGATAATTTGTTGCTATAGTAGCAGTGTTTACGGTGCTAATATAACAACAAAAATCATTTCCGATTTTCTAAACTAACAATGCACTGTTATTATAAAGGCAAATTAATTATTTGTCCGTTAGAAATTTGTCCAGTGATCAATTATCCGTAATCTGACCCCGAACGGTTTTGACCTTTCACCAGAGAGTTGACCGATGACTCATCAAAGGGTCCAACTTATAACAATACTATAAAGGCAGCATAGGATAAAAATGATTTTTTCTTGAAAATATTCCTTATCGCAGGCGATTCGACTCGAAATTTAGGGATTTCTGAAAGAAATGTCCCCAAATGTCAATAAGGTAGCGCACGATATCGTCTAACTAATAAGTGGACGGAGTGAGTCATAAATTACTTTAACTAATCGGATATTTAGATGGCTGAATACCTATTAATAGTAATAGCATCTTCCTCTTTTTTTTTTCCTCAATGCTTTTGCCTTTATTCAGATGCTAATTTTTCCTTTAATGGCAGCTTGGACTTTTGATGATAATGAGATCGTCGGAGGTTGCAAATTAGCTCGACAACGAATTAGCCAAATTTCGATCATAAGGAATGATATCGACTAACTCGTAAACTACGCGATAAAGATCATTTTACTTATTTATAATCTTCGTGTTTCGAAAATTTTACAATTTATTGAAAATATAACACGAAAATGTCTTCTTAACTTAATTGATTCGCTTCTTATTTTCCTATTTTCTTAAGAAAATTTTTTAAAAAATCGCAAGAAATTTAAGAATTTTCTTAAGAAAACTCTCAAATTTTTTAAGGGTAAAATAAGAAAAAATTTTAACTAAATTTTATTCTTAATTAATACATTTATTATCACTATTAATAACTTTAATACATTGAAATATTTGACATTAAAATTAAAAAAAAATAATAAACTAATTGGCCTAAATTTAAATATATATTTAAAAATAGGTTAAATAAGATTTATTAAATCCCAATTTAAAATTCAAATTTACATTTTAGCATATTTAATTCTGATTATTATTATTATTATTATTTTTAAATATTACTTTTATTTTTATTTAATTAAAACCTTTTGCATTTGACCCCCTTTTTTAAAAAATATATAAAATTGGCTTCTATATTTAACTTAAATATTTTTAAATTTTATTTTCTAAAATTAGCTTCATAATTTAAAAATTGAGAGTATTTATTTTTATATTTTAATCGTCGTATTTAAAATTCATCGCCATTCTCCTTCCTTTATTTATAATTTAGATTAATTCCTAAAAATTTAACTCACTTCAGGCCCTGTAATGACAAAATAGCAGGCTCATTTGGCACGGACCTCTCACTTAGGAGGCCTCTGAAACGTTATTTATTCCAATAAATTAAATTTTTTAAAAATATTTTGCCAAATTATAATGCAATTTTAATACGTTGAGGCCTCTAAGGTAAATAGTTGGGGCCTAAAGGTAAATAGTTGGGGCCTTATTCGACCTCTGAGAGGTGCAGGCCGCTTGCAATATATGAATGAATGGAGTCAAGGCCTTCCACAGGTCAAGAGAGATCGAGAGAGGCCTCTCGAGTTGAGAGATGCCTTGACTTCATTTATTTATACACAAATATATATAATTTGCATTATTTAAAATTAACTTTAATTCTTTTAATTTTTATTTTTAAAATAATATATCTGTACTAATGAAGATGATGATGAGGAGGAGGAGCAGGATAGAATATTGATAACAAATTGGTAATATAGTAATAACATTAACATCTATATTGATGATCATATATCATCTTGAGTATTGGTAACACTTGTATAGCTGAGGATGATAATTATCAATATTGATGATGATAATGCATTATACTCACCAATTTTAATTATAATGATGCTGAAACTTATATTTAACACAATATACTTAATTTTGTTAATAGTTAAGTGAAAATAGAGTTTAAAAGCATTTAAAGTGAATTAATTCTAAAGCAAGAAATTGCTCTAAAAATTAGAAAATTCAGTTTATAAAATAAACCTTTTAATTAAATATGTTTAGATTTTTAATGATGATTAAAACTTTGTTCCTTTAATCAATAATAAAGGTTAATTATTAGTTAAAGTTGTTTTCTATCATCAAAATTTCATCTAATAATTAAAAACAAATGAAATAAATTTAAATATTTTAAGTAATAACTGAAGTTCAATACTAGAAGATATTAATTGCATTTAAAATATTGAACATACTTGCAACAGGCCTAATCTTATGTGCTTAATTGCTAACAGAGTCCATTAATTAATATATAGGCCTACGTAATGATTTATATAGGCACTAAAACTCAATTATATTGATATATGAAGCCAATAGAATTAATATTGAACTGATATTGTATTAGTTTATGCTATTTACTAGTATAGGCCTATTGAAATAATATTACTGTAATTGTATTAGTTTTAATTAAAATTTAATCCATTATATTTGTAATTTGATTTTATTTTAGTCTATTTTACACTAAAATTCGTTTCTGTAAGCTAAATAATTTAAAATTTGGTTCTACACAATGTAAGGGAATAATGATGGAAGGGAATAATTATGTTGACTTTACATTGAAAATAATGCAATTATTAAAGGTAAATTAGTAAAAATTCAGCAAGAAATCTTAAAATTTGGTAATTTATAACGTTGTAAATGTTAAATTAAACTACTAAGTTGTTTTATTAATTATCGATATTAGTTTCAATGGAGTGATTAGTGAAGAAGGGAGTTTAAAGGATGTATTCTACATGTTGTACGCGAAGACATCTGTTGTTAAACTATTAATTCGATTATAACATAGACAAAATTACATTGAAAGGACTTATCTAAACTTTTCAGCCTATCTGGAAATTTTTCTTCCTTCAAAATTATCCATTAATTTTAGATAATATAACCAATTACAATGTAGAGAAGTGGAGCACATTACATTACGGGATTAGCAACTTTCCTTACTTACCCTTCCATTACAATCATGTGATATTTTCTTAACGTTTCCTATTGGTCGATTATCTAACTATATAAAGATAACGACCAATAGGGATGCTGGACGGTGACGAGAAGGCGTATACAGCGTAGTAACTTCCTAATCGTTCAAGTTGGATACATTTTCAACTACTATTCGCAACAGTTCGGTAAAATAAATGTTTCTTTACACTCGATTCATATGTACAAATTGGAATAACCCGTGAAATTTACGAATTCCTGTATAAAAAGTACAGAGAAAAAAATAAATAATAATTCAATAGGCACAAATGCCATGGGATGCTGGAAGTCACCAAACCGAGAATTCGAATGGGAATTGCATATTATCTTCTCAAGTAAGTAATTCTTGAATTTATTACTAAGCTAAAACTGTATGTTAACTACGCAATAAAATAGCCAAATATATTTTAATTAATATTTTTATAGCGCTTCAGACCTGAGGAAAGTTATCAGATGGCAAAACAGTCCATAGAGGTTGACGTCTATTGTCAAACTGACGGTAAGCAAATTAAAGAATTTAAACTTTTAAAACTAATTTAACAAGTTTGAAGTTTATATTTATGATATTTTATATTTTTACATATTAAAATTACAAAATTTCTCCACAAAATAGTTGAAAATTTACAAAAAAAAAGCGTTACTTTTAAGTAAATTTTAACCTATTCACTTACACGAAAGAGTAAAGTAAATGCTAATAAAATTATTCAATTTTTAAGCTAATTTTTTTATTATTTTAAAATACTTTTTATCTTTAAAAGTGTTATAAGATTAAACACTTAACAGATGTTTATAACTTAAACGAAACTGTTAACAGAGAGAAAATATATTCGAGGATATTCACCTGTTTGCTAATTAAACACGGAAAAACTGTATATTTAAACAGAAAGTGCGTAAACTGTTTAAAATATGTGCTCATTCTATTAGCTTTAACTAGAATGCAAAGTTAAATGTTATATAATGGCAATAATTTGCGAAGAAAAAGTAAAAATTTTATAAGTTAAATCAAGTTAAATGAGTTAAATTTTTGATTTTGACGTGTAAAAAGTAGAATTGAAAGGTTTTAAATTGTTAAAAATTGAATTTGAAAGGATAAAAAGTTGATAAAGTAAGTGTATGTGGCGTAGAAAGTAGGAAGAAGTGAAGAAATTAGTGGCTTATCATATATATAAAAACTTATTCGTTGCTTATTGTACAAAAAATATCACTCTTACTGAGTCAGCAGGTGTGAATAGCTATCAAGAAAAATCGCTTTAAAACATGCCAGACTATAGTAGAGAGAGAACGATATTCTTTCTAGCGAACAAAATGATTCTATGCAGTTTACACCTAATTCAATCCCAGAACACAAGTTCACCTTTTCTGTCAGTAACCTAATAACTCTGGACACAGCAGGATCGTAGATTTTGGGACAGTCGGATCACTTCGTGCAAATCCTTCTTTCCATTCAACAACAACAGAATCTGTTTAAGTTGCAAATGCCTATACGTGCAGCATGTCGAGATTTGTAGCAAGAACAGATCTACGGGGTTTTTTGGGAGAAAGGGAGGGAGAGATATCTCCTGGGGGACGTGTTACATGTCTGCATTTCCAACAACAAACCCAGTTCGTTTCATTAGATTCTCTGTGACAATAGCCAAGTGACGTAGTTTGTCTGGTCTTCACTGTACGACCCCGCGAGGTGTAAGTGATAGCGTGGTGCATTCTAATGTGCTCACTCCTAAATCACAGTCACGAGAAAACGAAATGAAAAGTGAATTTTCAGAAATTTGCTCTATTGCGGATGGAAACTTGTAACAACCCTCGGGCCTCTACTACTCTCTCTCTCTCTATTGGGAATTGCTAAACTTGTTTGCTGTTTCTTGTCTTGTATATAAGGTCATTCTGGCTGCCTCTTTCTTTGGATATATTTTTAATTTTCTTTACTCGATATTATGATTCATGAATTTTATACTGAATATTTAGCTGCTTCCGCATGCCCGAAGTTAGACTATGTTCAGATTTTTCCTCTTTCCAGAATTTGTCATGGATTTTTTATTCCGTTCGACACAATAGAAAAATTTTATTAATCAGAACCACGTCATATTCTTGAACGTCTCTCCTTCCCCCTATTGTAAGCGGGTTAAGTTAGATGTATAAATCCGCGAAAACAACGAATATTTTATACAAAAACGCTGCATTTATCTCTAGAAAATCTAAGTGTATAATATAGAAATGGAGGATTTAATGCGTTTCCAAGCCTTTTATATGGCGAAACGTCGGTTACGTCCCTAGAGTATCATCCGTCATCTCATAATACATTTTTCTGCAGAATGACTCAACGAGAAACACGCCTATCTGGTCCGTAATTGAATTAAGATGTTAAAAATGTGGGATAAATGCGTAATTTACGAACAGAAGAATATTTAATTTTGCCTTTATTTAACAGGAATAACCTTTCATTCACCCATGAAGAGCGAAAGGAAGTTGGAGTGGCCTAGCTGCTGTTTATTCTGCACTAACAACACTCAATCGAGCAAGGTTTATCTTCAGGATCAATCAAGCGATGCCTCGTGTTACAGAGACGGTCAGGTGTTTAGAAGAAGGCATTCTAAATCTGTAAACGGGGATTACGTCAACGAATATAGACGTCAATCTCAAGTTTATGGCTTCGCATCCCATTTAGGAAGACGATCTGACGAATCTAGACAATACTTCACCGAGTGGACATCATACAACAGCGATTGGGAAGAAATCGCTGATTCTGACGTGCAAACAGAATCTAGGAATTGGTAAGAGATCTTTTTGCTTCGGTATTTGCGTAGGGGTTAAAAAGTTGTAGTCATAAAACAGACAGGGGTGACGAGTTTATTACTGTAAACACTTTTTTCCTCGTTTGTCAATCCAATTACGTTGATTTACCGTTGTATTAACTAAGGCACTTTCGTACTACAAGAGGGAAGACATTGAAGATGAAGTTACTGGATATAACATGAAATTCTAACCTGTGATTTGTGGGAAAATTTTCCTCTTTCTAACGACTTGTTGAGTCATGCTAGAGGAATAAGTGATCGTGTTACCGAGATCGGAACTAGCTTTAATTTTCTATTGGGTTTTTTTATTTCACTTTCTTTCTTATAAATTTAAGTTAAAATGGCAAATAGGGTTAATTTATAATCTTATATTTTCTGTAACAGGACTTGGACGCAGAGCAACAACTGTTTATCATCCTGTCACGGTACAGCTTATATGACACCCTTAGCTACACCCAGCCCTTCAGAAAGTGGACGAACAACGCTAATCACTTCTCAATTTATTGTAAAACAAGAGAATTTCACTCAAAAAATGAATGAAGGTAAGTTCGTTTCTTATAATTAAAGAGTCGAACGAACGAGTCTACATTAGTTAAACGTTATAACCTGAATATCATACTTCACTGCAGAGCTCGTAAGCGTAACAGAGAAGCTCCAAGAAGTACGGGGCAAATTTTTCTCGTATTTATACATTCACACACCTTTAAAATATATATATGAAAATGATTCCCATTGAACGTTCGTATTTATATATGTGGTAAAGTCGCGAGTAGAGCGTGATAAAGAAGTTCTGTTATCGACAGTATGTGTCACAACTTGGATCTAGCTGCAATAACGAACAGCATAAAGTGAAAGTCATTAACAGAGGGAATCTTCAACAAGGGAACTATTGTAGTAACACCTCTCTTTGTATTTTCTCAACGTTTCTCCACAACAGACGGGCGATAGATGAGGACCACCTGATGAGTTACATCCAGAGCTGCAACTGTCACTTGTCACCAGCATATGACACTTCCAGATAAGAAATACTCATGCGTGATATATCCATACTTTAATATCCAAATCATCACCTGCTAATTAATCCTTCTTCATTAGTAAAATTTTGTTTTAATCTATAAATTTGTTTTCAAAATTTCTAACTGAATCTTATAAAACGACGATCCTGTACGTATCCTCGATAGTATTTTTCTTTCTTTTTAAATTAATAAAATAAGTTACATTTTCAGAATGGCTGTAAGAAAACGTTTAAGGTTTAAGTCGATAATATAAAATAAATTTTCGACGATTCTCACGTCTCTCCATCATCTGTAACTCAGTGATTTTTTACTTCTTCCGCTCGAGTTATTACTCTAGAGGTGTGTAGTAAAAGAAAATAAACGTGTAGGCCTTCTATCCTACTAAAAGTTGGGGCATTTGAAGCTTTATTTGTTCTTGTAAAAATGTATTTAATCCTTATCGGTTACTTTAGACAAAAAGAGGCAGAGTCCATAAAAATTGTCGACTATATAAAGTGGTATCTAAACCAATCACAACTCTTGTCTGACAGTAGAAGACATAATTTAGTTTTAAAATAGAACAGTTAATGTAAATTTGCGGATTATCGAATGATGCGGCGAGAGAGACAGTCGGTGACCCTGTGCAAACAGTGATAAGGTGTTGGCGAAAAGGATTGTTGTCCGACCTGTCAACCTTCCTACCTCACCTATTCTCCTTTTTTCGTCTTTGTTACTTCGTTATTTATTGAGATTGTCGTCATCAAACTCTTCAAGCCAACTTCCACCGCGCTATTTTTCAATTTAGAACCGTCCCAAGATAAATTAGTGTCCTTAAATGATTATAAGGCTTAGATGGCCATAGCTATAAAAGTTTAAACCGAGCATTTCTCTCTCTCTTTTTCCCCCTAACGTATAAATATATATTTATATATCTACAGAAGACAATCAGTAAATCCTTCTGAGATTACATTTCTACTAAGTATATTTTATAGTGACAAGATTTTGAAATATTTATTCATTTTGTGTTTGAATAGATTACGAATCTCCAGTTTTGTGTGTGTTGAGTGACGTTAGCCTGAGTTTGTCGAGGCAATAATTCATCTAAAAATTTATAAATGCGTAAAATACGACTCGTTAGTATAGATTGATATTGTATATTTAATTTCATTTAATTTCAAACAGTTTTTATACGTTATAAAAGTCAAAATTGTAGAGAATACAAGAACTATAAAAGCTGGTAAATGTGATTTAGCCGATGTATAAACGATGCTTTACAGTTTTAAAACTGTTTAAATTGTTAGAAACGAAACATAAAACCGCAACAGTCGTAAAAGCAGATATATTATAAACACTTTCTTTTGTATATAATTCAAATTTGGGATGAAAGTAAGTTCTCTTGACAACAGTAGTAGATACTCTCTTATACGAAACGTAATTCACGTCTTTTGCGAGAATGCCTGCAATATTTTATCTCGATACCTGTGTTGTTTTGATGGAATCGGATGATGGTAAGAAAATAAATTAAAATGTCTCCATATTTTTCGAAAATCCACGCTGTAAATGATGATGTAAGAGTGTGCTGGATGTCACACTAATTGCATCCCTTGGGAAAATATCCTAACAAGAACTTAGCACCGTTTGGCTGACACATAAATTTCGTGTGGCCGATTGAACGTCGTGATTTTTAGTCTACTGTTTCAAAATGACTTGTTGACGCCTCGAAAAGGCGAAGACAATTTCACCAAAGAGGAGCGAAGTCCCCCGAAATATTCGCCCAACCGACTTTATAATCTATAAAATCTACAATAATTGCTTGGTCGAGACATTCGAGCTTTTAAATAAATGGACAAAGATTTGTTTTACGTGTTTTTGAATTATGATTTTTTTTTCTGTCGGAGAGATTCCTTCAATTTTTATAGAATTGACTAAAAGAGAGTTGCATCTTCACTCGATCCACTCGAATTACTTTCTTAAATAAGTAAAATAGATCCTTTCCAGTAAGCTCTTTCTATTTTCTTCAAAGTTCTTTGTTGTTTACAGAATTTGTTGAAGATTAACTGCCTACCAGACTTAACCCAAATGTCCAAGGAGTTTTCTAAGACATGGATATTTTCTCTTGAATTTTCTCAAATAAATTCGTTTAGAATGTCCTCTCTTTATCTACAAAATTCTCTACACGTATATACAATTCATATTTAAATTAAAGTCAATAAAATTATTTAATATTTTATATATAAATCTAGTTTCGATTCCGTTATTTATTATTTATAATTCATATATTTTTAGTAGAAATCTCTTTCATTTAATTCAAATTTGATTAAATATATTTTATCAATGAAAGAAAATCACTTTCACTTAAAAGTGAGCGTAAATGAAAGCGATCACTTTCACTTCTAAACTAATGAATGAAGCATTTTATTTATATTAAAAAATAAATTTTTAAATACTTTTTATATAAAAATTATAAACGTTAATTATAATTACGATTTAACTGTTTTTTCTAATGTAAAATTGTTTATTTTCGTACAGAACTAAGTCTGTCTTAACTAAAAAATAATTCTTTTCTGTTTATTATTTATAAATAAATCAGTTTTTATACATCATACATGTAATTTTTTTGTTAATAATTTAATTAAATCATTCATTATTTGCATAAAAAGCAGCAAAAATTGAAACTAATCATTCAAACGTTCTCTGACATTTTCTAAAGTTTAATTTTTGGCATTTAAACTTTTAATTTAATCCAAAAAAACACACGAAACGAGTAAAGACACATTAAATAAGTGATTAGAAACGTGTTTATTTTTAATTAACGTAATTAAACTACTTAAACATCATTTATTTAATAAAACTCTTTAGATACTCAGATTGGAAATTTTCAGATATATTCGCTCTTTATTCTATTTGTTTCCATTGAGATGGAAAAAAAATAACCAAATCCTCACATCCCTCTCGTGTTCCTCAATGTCTTAGGATTTAGTCCCCCAAAGAGCAAGAGTAAGCCGATTATAAGGACATGAGGTGACTTATAAATATTTTACCAATACTTCCATTGCTTATATCTGGATAGACTTAAACGAATAGGGCATATGTACTATTTATTCGACCTGTCACCTAAATAGATCTTGACGGACAACACAATTTTCCTTGTTGATACTACTATACAGGTGTGCTCTTGATCTATGTGCAGCTTATACGCTACCAATACCTTATGTATATATATTCTAAGAGAATTTTCAATAAAATTTCACTATCGACACGCCATATTTACGCTATAAATACACAGGTTAGTGCTAAAATTTCTCTGTGCATGAAATATTGTTTACTGATTTATGATTTTTCTATAAAGTTATATATATATATATATATTTTTNTAATGTTTAGTATATTTTTTCTCTTTAAAATTGTTTTTAAACCTTTAAGATGTTATGGGCTTTATAGTTTTTGAGTTATTTTAATGTTTAGTATATTTTTTCTCTTTAAAATTGTTTTTAAACCTTTAAGATGTTATGGGCTTTATAGTTTTTGAGTTATTTTAATGTTTAGTATATTTTTTCTCTTTAAAATTGTTGAAATTCTGTCCGGGTTTGAGCTCTTGGGAATAATTTCTAGCGAGTTTTTACGAGTTTTTATAATTCTTACAAGCAAAAATTAACAGATATGTGAGTTTATAATCAAATTTACTTCCATTAAATGCGTTTAAGTACATATTTTTAAGATTATTTCGAATGAAACTTAATCCAGACGTATTACATTTCTCATTTGTAGCATAAAAATGGGGCCTTATAAAGGAAAAATTGTGTTTTATATGTAAAATTTGTGAATAAATTATTATATTTTTGTGGGTTTTCGTCAAACTTGTTAAGGGGATTCAATAGTTCGGCGTTTTTTCATCCGTGAAAAATTTGAAGCTCGACTTCTCGGATCAGATTTTGGGGTTAATTTAATGCTGCGGTAGCAATCGGAATGACCGATACATTAACATAAAATGCAGTGGAGAGTTTACTTTAACAATCCCTAAGTGTGGGAAACTCGACATCGGGGTTAGTTTGCCGCACGTGGTTAACGTGTTTACAATCTATTGTTCTACAAGGACGAATGACGGTAACCGCAGTCGATCTGCCCTTCTATTATATAGAGACAGAAAAGAGCACGTTACCAAGGCAACCAGAGACACGTGTACGGTCATGTGACGGGAGAAAGCGCGGGAACCAACAGAGAGTCAACAAAGAGTGGGTTTAATAAGGCAGAAAATAATGCTCTTGATACCGTCAAGATGATAAAAACCTATTTGGAACCGATGAAGCGTTGTCGGCGTTCCGACTAATTTGGACATTTGGCGACAACGGGGCTGCTGATCCATGCACCATTTGTAAGTCAAATAAGGTAAAGCTTTCTTCTTTACATGCTGGAGTGTAGGGTGACAAAGTGACGTCGGTTGTTCACTTCAACTGACATCTTGTTCTCTCTCTTCCCCAACATATTCTCTCTTTCTCTCTGTTTGTTTAAATCCGATCTCTGCGTCATCAATAGCGATAAATGGCGGCTGAATCATTTTCCTATAAAGTCTGGCCACTTAATGGTTTCTGTTTACCAAACCACACATCCTCTGACCTTTCCTTTAATGGATAGTGGCCATTTGTTTTATTGTTACATCCTTCGTTTTTCTTTCCGTTTAAGTCGAAATTAATCGAAAATTTGAATAAAATAAGTCACAAGTTACAAGAAATAAACAATTTGTAGGCCTATTTACAGAAACTAACTAGTTTAACAATAATTTCAATCTTTACGCTTAAAAATTCGGCTTCAAAACATATAATTTATTTAATTAAAGGCTAAATTGCTGTAAATATAAATCTTTTGACGTATTTATATGCATTGTTTCCTAAATTATTAGCCTATAAGATACGTAACATCTAACTTACATTGGCTACACCAAGATTAAAAAAATCTGATTTAAAGTTGTAAAATTGGTAAAATTATAAGTGATTTATTAACAAACAGACCTACCTATTTATTAGTTTATTTTAATGTTATAAACAATAACACATTTCATTTTTCTCCCTTATTCTATTGCATAAACATCGTGTAATTGTCGGTTCGAATCATTAGAAACGAGCGAGCTTATTAGCAGTTATAAAATAATCTACATCAGTTGACATCCTTCATAACATCTCTATAATAATCTTAGAGTATGTTTGATAACATTATTCAAATTATTGAGATTAATATATACGAATTTATGGCATACAAGCGAAGAGAAGGGGAAGATCATGTTTCGAACTTCAGTTCGAATTGCAGTTTATTGTTAAGTAAAATATTCTTCATACAAATTTATAAGCTAAAAACGGCTAAAATGATATTGCTAAGTTACGTTATCTACCTTCAAGCAAGCGATACTCCGTATCAAAATTTACAATTCGCATTATAATTTATATTTCTTTCATCAGTTACCAACAATTATAATTCTTCTATCATTATATACATTCTACCCGCAAATAATCGCTTAAATCTCTACTTAAAATACGTATAAATATTAAAATATATCATCACTTATGCCCGATTCTGAATGATTACTTTCAGGTTTGAGCCCGTGTAACACAAGAGATCCATCGAACCGTCGATTCTGTGCGGTTAAATGCGAGCCACCACCTTCACCTTTGACCCCTTCTCCGAGTCCCGCTCACACATGGGACACAAGTGGAAGTCCGACAGGTCCCGGACCGGGTCAAAGACGAGGAAATTTACAACTGTGGCAATTTTTGGTGGCTCTGCTAGACGATCCAGCAAATTCCAATTTCATAGCATGGACAGGTCGAGGGATGGAGTTTAAGCTCATTGAACCAGAAGAGGTAAGACGATAGTACATTTACTTATATAATTTTAATAAACAGTTGGTCGAAAGGGTAACAAGAAAAGAAACAAATTAATTATCGTTCGTTTTATTATTATTATTTTTTTCCTCCTTATCCGGGATGTTGCACATTTTGGATAACTCGGTAATTCGATAGGAGCAGTGAATAAAAGATATTACATTTCTATCGGGGAAAATTATCTTGATCTACAGCCCGGTAGATCGCTTACAGATTATAATTACTTGCTTAATATAATCTAAAATCACTTGTTTTTCTACATCACGTATACTTACATAAGTACTGTACCGTACACATAGCGCTTATATTTAATAACTCGTTTAATTTTCTGCTAATTATAATTATAAAATTATCTTCTTTTTTTAAAATTTCAGGTGGCTCGACGATGGGGTTTGCAAAAAAATCGTCCCGCTATGAATTATGATAAGTTGAGTCGCTCGCTTAGGTATTACTATGAAAAAGGTATTATGCAAAAGGTTGCAGGTAAGTTTGATCGAGATTTACGTTGAAATTCTTTAGTTTCGTGTTAATTTTATTGGTCTAATATAATCACAATTAGTTACGATTTGGAGAAGTTATAATAAAATGCTGTTACGTTCCATTTAAAAATACGCAAGGAGGCCTAAAAGTCAGTTAACCGTGTTTTATTTGCGTGTATATTTGCGAATGTAAATCGTAAACTGAAAATAACTTTCTTCTTTCACAAAATTGGCGGAAACGCAATTTAAAAAACGCGACTAATTTAGTCTTTACAGCAGTTAACCGATTTATGGACCGCCCTATGACAAAACCTGTTCCGTTAACCATCTGTAATACGGTATATGAATTCGAATCTTAAAGATAAGAACTGCTTAAAATTCCTAAAGTATGCCTATTATATAGGAAAATGGTATCATTAATTGGTTTAAATAAAAAAAAAAAGTTCCAAAACCTCGTGAATTATAGTTTGTAACACTGTTCGCACACAAGTATTGACGTGATCATGATCGTAATTCCTATATTAAATGAATGCGATTAGATCTATTTAAAAAAGAATCGATATTCTATAATTTTAATTTCTATTAAATTTTCTATAAAATTGTTCGGAGAGAAATAAACTGTAGCTAGAGAAGCGTGGAGTAATATTGCGTGAAACGTTTCAATTTGTTTCAAACACGTTTCAAACACAAATTCAATTTGTGTTTGGCTTAAACAAGGAAAGTTTAAAATGTTAAGAATATTTAACAGAATTCTTTACATTGTATTCTCGAGAATAGTCTTTATACATCATTAAATAGCTTCGATCCTTATAACGTTTTCATCTCCTTTGCTGGATTTTAATGATATTAATATAACCTATAATGCTTCCAACTAATTATAATTAACTGGAAATATTTTATAATAATTTTTATTATAATTAAAATATTCGGTTTACTCCACTCTCGTTTAGATAAAATATATAAAAATTTATTCTTGTATCGCATATTGTAGTAGTTAGGACCGTCGACGTATGAAAATGTAAAGTTGTAAAGTTGGTGCTTAATGTTATTTATCCATTTTATTTAGGCAAAAAGTTTTAAGTGTGACCTATGACCTGACCTGAGCAGTATTAGCATTGTTATACCGATATAATCTCTTTTACACCGGTATAATCATTATAATCATCGATAAATGGCTTCAATCTATCAACTTTATCGGTCAATCTCGCAACTTTAACAAAGCTATACGTATTCATAGTGATGTACAGTACATCATTATAATGAATGTATAGTACATAATTCTTCGTTTAAAAATAAATTTTTAACAAGTTAAGTACGATAAAATCGAAGTGAAACATGCTTACTTATATTAATTTTCGCACTAAAAACATATAATTTATTGATTTAACTAGCAAAATTTTATAGGTGTTTTAAGAAAGATAAACTTTAATTAATTTCTATACATTTTAATTAATAAACGTGCATTAATTCACGTGTAAATGTTTACATCGTAGGTGAACGGTACGTCTACAAATTCGTTTCCGATCCAGATTTACTATTCACTCTAGCATTCAAAGAAAGCCCTAAACAAAACTTGGACATTTATCAAGGAAGTTACACGCAACACCAATTGACTGATCCGACAGTGTATCAACAGCGATCCAACGAGCAAGCAATGACTAACTGTCAGCCAGTGTCATCTAGTAGTGGAGAAGCAGAGTACCAACCGTTGACGTGTCTACAGGACTTGACAAGTCGATCGCATTCTAGCATGAGCGAAGTCACCAACAGACTGTCGATAGAGGGATGTGTCTTTTGAAGGCAACAGAATAGCTAACGTACCTCTTTTCACCTCTGGGAAACATGTACAGGAAGTATAAGCTATTGGTCCAATGGTTTTTTCCCCCCTCTAACCGAAAAAAACCGATCACTTCCTGCTTAGAGATGGCTTGAAGTATCTTCTCTTCTATTCTTTCTTAAGTTTGTCACTTCTGTAAATAGTGAAATTTATGTATTCTCTTCAATGGAGTGAATTGCTTCACCATATCTGTACATCTAGAGATAAAAAGTATTGTATAATTCTATAGCTTGTAGTTTAGTTTTCATTTAAGATACCTCCACTTATGTTGGATACGTCTTTCTTTTGTAATTTATTATTATTATAATTATTATTATTCTCAAAGAATATATACCAAATGCTCAAGAAATTAATAATAAAAATCTTCATTTCGTTTAAGAATTTTTATATTTTATTATCCTGTCGACGAGTAGTCTGGTTTATATCAGGAAAATGATGTTGCCCTCGAGAGATTCATATATTACCAATGGCATCCGGATTTTCGAATTTCGACCTTCGTCGACGTCACACTACTCTGACCTTAAACTTGACTTATAGACCTATTTCTTCTTCGGTACAACAGCTTCTGATATTCGAGACTTAATTATTAAATATATATATATTTTAAATATTAGTACATAAATTATCCATAGTTAAAAAATTCGGTGTGGCGACATCTGTCGGTATTTTAAGAAATTATTAATATAAAAAAATGCTTTAATTTATAAAAAAAAATAAAATTATTTATAAATTTTTATTTAATTACGCGATTTTTAAATAATAATAATAATAATTTAATAAAAAAAACTTCTCTAATTACGAGGTTATTTAATTTAAAAAGTTAGTATTCGGGCGCCTTAATTTGATGAATAATTACTACACTGGAGGATTGAGGTAACGCGAACTACGGTTTGAAGAACCGCCTGTTGTTATTGTTTTGCCGGATTGCTTACAATCTCCGTCATTGAACAATCAAGGACATATTCATCAAGGTCTGTTTCCAGATGCCCTTTTAAAATCCGCACCAAAAACAACTCGGAATATAAACAATTTAAACGGCGACCTAAAAAAATACTTTGCATTCAAACATTGAAAATTTCCAGGTAAGGCTATTTTTGTTGATCTTTTTCTTCTTCTTCCCAACCTCAAAACAATGTCTTTGAAGTAAAAATAATGTTTTTGAGAAATATCCTTGAACTTGTATGTAGTTAAATGACGTCAACCACCTACATCATGTTTTTTGTACCAATGGAAAATGTAAAAGTGAAGTGAAGTGTTCTAAGTCTTCCTTTCTGGTCGATACTCGCCATGGCTAAGGTACAATTACTATTGCTGGCTCTCTTCTTTCAACCTTTCAGCAGCTTTGCCTGTCACTATAGTAAACTGAGTTACAGGCACACCATGTGCATTTACAATCCGCATGCTTGTCCAAATAGTCAATTGTTGAGTAAGTATATTTAAATTTATAAATTTTAATTTAAAGCAATTATTTTAAGAGCAATTTGTTCTTAGAAAGTGGTGGCCTCACGCATAAGGATAAAGCTCTCATCGTGAGGATTCACAACCGGATTCGCTCTTCGGTGGCCAGCGGATGGGTTTCGGGCCTTCCTCCTGCATCGAATATGAGAGTGATGGTGAGTCGATGGTATTTTTTCTTATAATTTGTATTTTTGTTTGTAGAAACAATATTTTATATCTTTCTAGATGTGGGATAATGAACTGGCACAGATAGCTCAGAGATGGGCAGATCAATGCACTGAAGGACATGATCAATATAGAAATACAAGTTTGTCATATTTATATATTCTTTTATGTGATAATTTTTAAAAATTTTAATTCATTATATTTTAATTAAGGAAGGTTTTCGGTGGGTCAGAATGTGGCTCTACAATGGACATACAGTCATAGAGATCTGAAATGGAAAAACAGACCTGACTGGAATTCTAGCATAAACTTATGGGCAAAAGAACTAGCTCAATTTGGATTTCCTAGAAGCTACATAAATCCATTTCATTTTGATGGTAATGTTGGCCATTACACTCAAGTAAGTGCTTTTTTTTTCATTATTATTAAAAATATATTAAGTTTTGATAGAAAATATAGGGATTCCTATCTTTCTTAATAGATGATATGGGGAAGTACATACACAATTGGTTGTGGTTATGCATATTATAAACATCCATATAAAGGTTATACTAAAATATATGTTTGTAACTATGGCCCTGGGTGAGTAATATTCATTTTAAGTTTCTTTTAGTTCAATAATCTTAATAATAATAAAACTTTCAGAGGAAATATTATTGGAGGAAAGATGTATGAAGAATCAAGAGGAGGAAAAAAGTGCACAAATCCTAAGTTGATACTTTCTAAACAATATAGTGGGCTTTGCGGTAGGTTAAAATGTGTTAATAAAAATAAACTTTAGATAGAATTCTAAGAAATTAACTTTCAAAAACAAATATTACTGAAAACTTTTGTTGTTGTAATTTAAAAGCTGTGTAAACAATTTTGCAGATGTTCAAATATTTGCATAAAACTAGAATATTTTTACTTTAGATGATATAGTAAATTTTTTTAATTTAAAAACATTTTTTGAGAAATGAAACTAATACTATTATTAATATAGTATTTTACATTTAATTTTATAAACTTTATATTACTTTTATTCATTCAAATATTTTTCTACCACAGAAAAACGTTCTTTATATAAGAGAATGAGAATCCATCATAAGAGTTCTAAATCAACAGCAGGACGAAGGAAGCAGAGAAAAACCAGAGTAAGAACAAAGCAACTACTTTGAATCAAAAATGAATCTTTAAATTATTTGTACCTAGCCATGAAAAGTTAGAGAAGAATTTGTAATTTTGCATGTTTTAATTGCAAAAAAATATTAAATAATCTAATATAAACATCTGTTTAAGTAATTTTAGAATTCTAAATGTATTAAAATGTAAATGGTTAATTTTAAAAATAAAATTGTTATAAATGTAGTAAGTATTTTAAATTGTTTCTCAACAAAATACAAATGATATATACATATATATATATACTCTATTTATTTCTGTACATTTTTATACAGGAGTTTACATTAACAGAACCTTTGTGTTATATAAACTTTTGGAAAAAATCATCTTTACTTGGAATGCACATTATATATTAAAAATTATATTAAAATAGTAAATTTTTTTACATTTTATATGAGTATTGTCAATTTTGTTATCTATCAACAAACTTTGTTAACTTTAAAACAATCTCAGATTTTCCTATTTAAATTTGACATAGCATAATTTCAAATAAGNACCAGTATATATATATATATATATATTTCTTTTAAATTTACAACAAAAATACATCAAAATTTTAAACATTAATAACTTTTAATAAAAAATAATTAGTGCATACTCTTAATTTATAAAAAAACAAGAGACAGAAAATTGTAGAGCAGTTACAAATTTATATTAAAAACAATGCTGGAATGTTCTGTAAATCATTTTAAAATAAAGTAAACAAAAAAATGGAATTTAATATTTAAAATTATTTATTGTACATATCAAAATATCTGTAAATAAAAAAATTATACATTAAATTATATTCAGATGTAAATTGTTAAGAGTAATTGAATGAGATCAATAATGTCACTAGATTTGTGAGCAATAATTTCAACTATTTCTAGACATTTTAAGAATTCTAAGTAGATATGTTGATTGATCTTATTAGATTCATTCACTACCCATAACTATTCTCGAAAACAATAAGTTTAGTCGAATAGTCAAATATTCAATTATTGAAACTTGTAACTAGACAAAATGCAATTTATGTTGATATATAAAAAACAAAATGTTAACAATTTTATGATAATTCAAATTTGAATATTAAAATGCTTCAACAATATTTTTATAATAATGTGGCACTTTTTAACAGTAAATTTTGAACAAATATGTACATCTCTCTTATTTACACAAAGGTTCTGACTTAATGCAATTCTTTGAATTCCTGTTAACTAATTTAACATTATCAGGAATGCATTCTTTTCCATATTTAACTTCATTTATTAACTTAACGGAAGTTTACTTTGATACTTTGGTAAAAATAGACCAAATTTTGATTCGATTCCGGAGAGAGTCGAGAGTGCTAAACGATAACCGCCAACATGATCCGAATTGTGTGAACGGATGTCACCAGCTTGTAGAGGTATCTTTGTCTGAGAACCAGTTGGTCGACTATTAAGGAAACAAAATTAAAATTAATAATAATTACATATACATAAATTTGGTGATATTTTAAAAATTAAAAAAGTAATGTGTTCAAAGCTTCTCTTTCAATTTAACAAAGCAAATAAGAATTATTCGTTAATTTGCCAAAATATATGGTTCTAACATTAAATAATAATTTTTGCAAAAATTTCATTTACCTTCCACCAAAATCAATATAAAATAATCTCTGAAGAATTTCATAAGTTAGTAAAGTAAATCCAAACTGAGGAGCAGAACGAAAGACTCTTGCTAGAAAAATAACAATTACATAAATTGGTTTATTATTAGTATTAATTTATTTAAATAATTTATAAGTACATAAACTTTACGAAAATAATTTTAATGTGCTATCATCTCTTGAGAAGCTTGTGACTTAGTAAATTATAAATGACTTTTAATTTAATAATGTCAAATTATATTTAGCCAATGTTTCTCTGAAAATAATTCTTTAATTGTGAAGTTTATCAGCTTTCTGTAAATAATTAATTGATATCATATGCTAATGACCTTTGTTATTATATACATGAAAATTACAGAATTGAATTTATACATGTTATACTTAAGTTTTCTGTTTTAAGCAAATAACTTAAAATGATATATTGTGTTGAAATATGAACTTGTTAAATAAACATTAGTTTATTTTCTCAAAACATGAAACAAAAACAGATTTCCAAACTGCAGTTTTGTTCTACAAATGCATCAGCTAAAACACTAATTATTATTTCTTTTAATTAATGATACACATTGAAGAAATCTAATTAGTAAATACTTCCTCAAGTAAACATTTTATTATAACAAACGATTACAAAATGATGCAAAATATAAGAAGAGAGAATGTGTTTGTCACCTTTTAAAAACTTGTTTCGTTTATTTTATGTAAGTTTCTAATCTCAATAAGTCATATTATTACAACAATTAATGTCTTCATTACAAGTGAATAAAACACATTTCTTTAATTTCTTCATTTTCAAAGTTAAGAAAGAACAATATAAATTTTTAAAAAATTCATATTAAATAAATGCAACTGGTAATAGTTAATAACATTAATTAATTAGAGATAAATTTTACTTTCAGTAACTTCATATGCAGAGAATTTTCAACAATATCAAAAGTTTCAATTAGATCAATTTAATATTCATAGGATAATTTGTCATCTGAATATTTGAAATAAGATCCTTCTTACAACTGTATGAATTTAACAAAACTTACTGATGTTTGTCTGTTGAGAGAAATAAAAGCAATTGTCTGGTATATAATCTTATTCATTTCATGTATCAAAATAATTTATCATCAAACATTATTTAATTAATGCTAAAAATATTTTATAAATATAAATGCTATAATTTTGCTTTAAAAAATATTGCATTAACAATGAAACCTGTTTTTTACTTGTTTTGTAAATATATTTTTTATAAAAATATTAAAATAAATTAAACTATTTTTTTTATCATTTCTGTGAATGAAAACTTAAAATTTTCATTAAAATTTTAAAATTATTCCTAAATAGTTTAAAATGAGAAATCAAATTATCTTAATGAAACAATAATCTTAAGCCAGTTGAAGAAAATCAATGACAAATGCTTATTTATCATTAGCCTATAAAAGGTTAAATATCTATTGAACTCATTAAGTATATTAAGTCAGTAATAAACTTATGTATGTATATAAACAGCATTACGTACAAATGTATGTAATTGTATTTTTAAAGTATCTTGTTATAATTTAGTCCATCAAAGACAAACATCTTTATCAAAAAACTTTAGAGAAGTGAATTAAAAATACTTTCTTTGATTTTCTCTACCATCTTTTTATAGAGAAGAGAAAATCAAAGAAAGTATTAGAAGTTATTGTATAACTTAAATTTCAAAATGTAACTTTTATAGAATTAAAAAACATTGCTTTATTTAAAAATAATATGCACATAGAATTTGTGCTAAGTAATGCAATAAATATGTGAGAAAAGGTAAATAATATCTAGCTTAAAAACACATTAAATACTAAAAATTGCTTTTTGTGGGAAAAAAAGAGTGCATTCATTGATTAAAAATTTAATAATAAATTATTAAAATCTAACATAAATTTGCATAATAACTATCATATAAATATATAAATCTCAGAAAAAAAAGGACTAAAAATATTTAATTATTGGTTCTTTTATTATCTGCTTACCAGGTCCTCCTTTCCAAAAAGCACGTCCACCTTCTTCCCTCCATATTTTTCTCATAGCATCAAGAACACCACTATAAGTAGTTTGTCCTTCTCTTGCTTGGACTTGCAGACGAGTTTTAATGACATCTGCTGGAGTACAAAGATAAGCTGCTGGTACACCTATATAAAAATAAAGTTGATAACAATATGAAATAACTTCCAATTTGTAAAAAATAATTGTTAAATTTTAATAAATTAAAACATTAAACTTATTTATTTAAATGTGTTTATTTTATGCTGTTTTAGTTTTTTATAATTGGAATTTATCCATTTAAAATAAATATTAAATTCAAAGTGCAGAATCATAATTTATTTAAACTGAAAAATATTATCATAAATTTATCAATTTTAATTAGGCATAGTAAAGATATTGATGATAATTTTTACAAACCTAATTGCAATATCTAACAAGTAAATCTAGTTACAATGCCTAAACAAACAAAACAAAAAAAATAACATTTATTAATTTTAGTTATCAATAACTCATGTTGTAATGAATTAATTTTTTATTAAACAAGTACCAGTATCACAACAGTCAATACTTGGTTATAACTCCATTCAATTATATACAGGCATAACCCAGATTACACCCATCACATGATAAAACAAACTGCAGATATGACAGTCATATATTTCTACTCCTAATATGATCCAAATTAGCTATCCACACCAATACGACGCTTTGTTCGTTCTAAGTGTTTGTCTGGTTTTTGTGTCCAGATGTCAAGTGAAGACCAAAAAAATGTCTGGGTCTTAAGAAAATTTTGCAAATTGTCAATAATTAATTATTTTTTAATGATATAGCTGATTTTATAACTGAGTGAACATGAACAGTCTGATAATTTAATTAACTGGTTATTTATAACAACATTCCACAGTAGATAGTTCCAGTCAAGATAATGAGTCTTGAGGACAGCTTTTATTTAGAGAGAAGGATTTTTAACAAAGCCCAATTTAAGCTCAGCTGTTCTGTCTTTTAAGAAATCCTTGAGCAAGTAGAAAATATTTTGTGGTACTTTGGTATCTGATAAGTTTTAAAGTTGGGGCCACCACATATTATCAAATGTGCTTTTGACATTTAGAAATATTAACAGAGACATCAATATGTTCTTTCCTTGCTATCAAACAATTTAACAAGGAAATGCTGGAGTGTGAAACTATATTGGTCATTGCTGAAACTTTCTATGAGGTAAAACTTTCTTTAAATAATAATAATAAAAAACATAATACAGTAGAACCTCGAAAACTCGATCTAATGTGGACCGAAGGGTGGCCGAGTTTGTGAAAATGCCGAGTTATCGGGAATGGGGTTAAAAAAAATAAGTACGAGTATTTCCTCAGAAAATACTGTACTGTACTTGTACAGTATTTACTTGTACAGAATATAACAGAGAATAAACTGCCCAAATACCCTTAAACAAAGGAAAAGTACGTCCTTTATGAAGGCATAGAGCCACTACATGAAAATGAAAATTAATGAATACACTGTGTACAGTAATTTACCTGATAAGACAGACCTCANATGTGATCTGCACTGCTTGTCATATACAAGTATATCTTATGATATGTTTTTAATATGTAATTGCTTATAAGTGTGTCCAACAAAACCTGCCTTATTATGATTCTTTAAGAAATCTTTTGACTGTCTATGTATTAGTAAACTGACAATTGAAGGTTTCACAAAACTTCAATAAATAACCTGGTGTAGTGAATGCTGTTGCCATATGCCTGTGTACTATAAGATTAAAGATAAATCTTTCTTAGAATACTGCTTCCTTATGTGGACTACTCTAAAAATATTGCCAATGTGATGCTCCTTTAAATGGATTGCTCTAATAACCAGTACTCTGTTAACATGAGTCCTGTTAATGTAAAACATAGGGAAGAAAATTGGAAACAGGAGAAAGTGTTGTCTTAAACAGATTTCTCTCTTATCTGGTGCTCTGTTAAGTGGACATGACTAGATATCCATCAGTTAATAATGGTGTTTTTAATAACATAAAGAAACCATTATTACATAATAATTTATTTGTTAAATATAGTTCCTTAACAATTTCTGTTATATGATGAAGAAATAACTTCGCACAAAATGAGGCTGGAAAGTAATACTAATAAAAACCTCAATCAACTTAGAGCCTTTTCTTTTTTCTGTTTCCAGTACTGTGCAATTGGTTTATCATTAAACATTACTGGAAAGAAAAAAAGGCTCTAAGTTGATTGAAGTTTTTATTTATAATTTTTTCAAGTAGACTAAAAACTACAACATAATAATTGTTGTGTTCTTAATTAATATTATGGCCTTTCATGGGTGCTATGAGAGAATTGTAATGTCATTAATTTGACTTTCTAAAATAATATTTTTCCATTGTATCTTTGAGATTTGTCTCATAGTTCAAAATAGTTTATATTCTTGAGCTGGTCTCCAGCATTTTTACTTTAATGGTGAATAATGATACAGAAATTAAAAAATATTATAATTAATATTTACGAAGAAATTTAATGTTTATGGAGCACAAGTCATCAAGATCATAGAAACTGTGTCACAATTAACTTTTTACAGAAATTGCATCTTTTTAATTTTGTATTTCTCTTTGAAATCTGTGGGCCAGTTAAATTAATTAAAATTTCTAACTTTCTGTGGAAATCCTCACAAAATTTCCATATTGTTTTGTATTTTCTATATGTAATTTTTTCGTGTCTCCAACTGATTCTGACATTGCACCCATTACCTAATCCAGTGTTTTTCAACATTTTTATCTCTCAGCACATTTGAACCCATAATTAAATTTTCATGGAAAAAATTACTTGATTTAAAGTTGTAAACATTCTATTGCCATATTACTTGCCACTTAACCTAATTTTTTATGAATTAAATAAAACAGTATTGTTGTTTTAAGTCTATTTTCATTTAAAAGTGGCATGATAATTGCCTTTAGAAACCTCTCCAATGTCCTGCTATTTCTAAGTTAAAATAATTTGAACTAAATATGGATAATTATAGATACATTTTTGATTTAAGAACATTCTGTTTCTTTCTGACAGATTTCACACAAGTTCAAGTAAATTATGATTTTCTGAAATGATATTTTTATATTTTGAACTTAATTCTTTTGCTGTATGATTTCTAACGCTATGGCCAATAGCAATATGAGCGTTGTGCAATATGTCAAATATTTCTTCAGTATTGTTGTAATATATAATCAAATAACCTTCTTTTACAGGCACAATTTTTTATATTTTTCCAATAGATACAAAAGTATACTACTATTTTTTATTACTATAAGAAATACATTTATTAAAGCAATGATGACACAGATGCTTACTTGAATAAAAAAATATCGAATAATGGATTTGCACTTAAAAACTGTGAAATTTCGTGCGGAAGATTTCCCAAATTCTCAAATCATGTTGTACAAGGGATACTTGTATTTTAAAATATTCTTCAACATTTTATTTTAAAATTGAGTATTTTCATTGGTGAAATTAATGTTCAGGCTTATATTAACTACAATAAAATATTACTTATGCAGATACCTTCTGAGTATAAAATTTCAGGTCATGAAAGTGGGATTAGGACAAAGTACAGAACTGTAATTAGAGTATTGTAAGCAAATAGTAGAAAGTTATAAAACTGAACAATTAATAATAAATTTATGTAATACAGTATGTCCTTTGCAATACACAGTAATTCACACTTTCATACAGGGTAATGTATTAACCTTGAATAATTGAGTATTAAAATACAGGATACATATAGTGAATGAAAAGTATTTTCAGTAAGGATAATATTATTTCGTTCACTAGTACGTATCTATTAACAGGACTTATTAAACTGGCTTTAAGGATACTGCAACTCAGTTTCACAGATTAGAAAATTATTTAATTTAATTTACCTGTAAATTAAATTAAACAGGTAAATTAAATAAAACAATTTCCTAATCTGTGAAACTGAGTTGCAGTGTCCTTAAAGCCAGTTTAATAAGTCCGTTAATAGATACGTACTTGTGGACGAAATAATATTAAAATAAATTAAGGATGTTGAGGCATATAAATTTAATTTCAGTAGGGATATTTCAAGTAGTGTAGTGTAGTATAGAATGGAATTGTTTAGTGCCCATAGACAGAATCAATATGTTTATGAAATGGTAGTAAAGGTTTTATTTAAATACTGTATTTTAACTGGCAAACTTAGAAAATAAATTTGTAAAACAGAAGGCACTAAACATGCAAAAATGTCTGAGTGTCAAAAAAGTGTTATTAATTAAACCAGATTTTACATGGGCTTGTTTATACAGTATATATATATATATATATATTTCTTTTAAATTTACAACAAAAATACATCAAAATTTTAAACATTAATAACTTTTAATAAAAAATAATTAGTGCATACTCTTAATTTATAAAAAAACAAGAGACAGAAAATTGTAGAGCAGTTACAAATTTATATTAAAAACAATGCTGGAATGTTCTGTAAATCATTTTAAAATAAAGTAAACAAAAAAATGGAATTTAATATTTAAAATTATTTATTGTACATATCAAAATATCTGTAAATAAAAAAATTATACATTAAATTATATTCAGATGTAAATTGTTAAGAGTAATTGAATGAGATCAATAATGTCACTAGATTTGTGAGCAATAATTTCAACTATTTCTAGACATTTTAAGAATTCTAAGTAGATATGTTGATTGATCTTATTAGATTCATTCACTACCCATAACTATTCTCGAAAACAATAAGTTTAGTCGAATAGTCAAATATTCAATTATTGAAACTTGTAACTAGACAAAATGCAATTTATGTTGATATATAAAAAACAAAATGTTAACAATTTTATGATAATTCAAATTTGAATATTAAAATGCTTCAACAATATTTTTATAATAATGTGGCACTTTTTAACAGTAAATTTTGAACAAATATGTACATCTCTCTTATTTACACAAAGGTTCTGACTTAATGCAATTCTTTGAATTCCTGTTAACTAATTTAACATTATCAGGAATGCATTCTTTTCCATATTTAACTTCATTTATTAACTTAACGGAAGTTTACTTTGATACTTTGGTAAAAATAGACCAAATTTTGATTCGATTCCGGAGAGAGTCGAGAGTGCTAAACGATAACCGCCAACATGATCCGAATTGTGTGAACGGATGTCACCAGCTTGTAGAGGTATCTTTGTCTGAGAACCAGTTGGTCGACTATTAAGGAAACAAAATTAAAATTAATAATAATTACATATACATAAATTTGGTGATATTTTAAAAATTAAAAAAGTAATGTGTTCAAAGCTTCTCTTTCAATTTAACAAAGCAAATAAGAATTATTCGTTAATTTGCCAAAATATATGGTTCTAACATTAAATAATAATTTTTGCAAAAATTTCATTTACCTTCCACCAAAATCAATATAAAATAATCTCTGAAGAATTTCATAAGTTAGTAAAGTAAATCCAAACTGAGGAGCAGAACGAAAGACTCTTGCTAGAAAAATAACAATTACATAAATTGGTTTATTATTAGTATTAATTTATTTAAATAATTTATTAATGTTTTATTCATTCACAAATAAAATTTCAACACCTTAATTATCTGTTACTTTATTAAACATTTTAACCACTCAAATTTTAAAATTTAGATGTTGACTATTTTAATTTTTAGTCAAACTTATCATTAAATAACTATTTCTTTAAATCTGATTCTATTAATTACACTTGATAGCTAACTGAAAACTAGTGATGCTAGTAATATCACAAATTAAATTTTAATTTTTCACAATAATACTTAAACAACTACTTAAGAAATATCTATCAAATTTAGATACATTGGGAAATTTTAATTTTAATATTGCAGTTGCAAATAACTCAAATATTTAAAACATACATCCAGAAAAATTTATTAATCAAATTTTAAACAAACTGTTAAAAAATGTAATGTAACTGTCAGATGATTAACTATCTTCTAACAATTTAATTCTTAAAAATAACTATGGATATTTCCAAATATGACTATCTTTCATTAAAACTAAATTAGAACTAATCAGATTAGTTCAGGAACAAACATTCCAGATGACAATGAATGACTAATTTTGTACGGAGTTAATTACAGTAAACATTTTATTCAATTGAAAGGAAATTTAAATTATCAATTAAAACAAAAATATTTAACATTCCTGAATGCATTGTTATTTCAAATGATGTTAATACAGTATATAGAATAATATTTGCTTGAAAACAAGCTAATTGGGCTGCAATTTGAAAAAATTGTAGACCTATAAATTCTCACTGTCTGTCCTTCTTTCCTTAATCTCGAGAATAGAGTTAGATAGATGAAAGACAAGGTCAAATAGGGAAAGCTTAGGGGCAGAAGGTCCTGTTTAACTACATAAGAACTTTCAGATGCAAACCATCATGTTATTTCAATTCAAAAATTTTCCCCTGAAAGGTTTAGATAGAAGACCAGCATAACTCTATTGTTAAAGGAAAAGTATGATGTACTGGGGCAAGCCACTACTAATTTGAGGTGGCAATCATAATTTGAGGTGGCAATTATTTATTGTGACAATGTCACAATAAATAATTGCTCATTTTATATTTAAGTAATTTTACAAATTTTTTTTTATAAAAGAGTTTGCAGTAATTTTTTTATTAGATATAACTACAACTTTTGACAAAGGACGTAAAAAATTTAATATGTTAATTTATAAAATTAGAATTAGATAATTAATTAGTGTCTATTTATTATATTGTTTNAGAAATCAAATTATCTTAATGAAACAATAATCTTAAGCCAGTTGAAGAAAATCAATGACAAATGCTTATTTATCATTAGCCTATAAAAGGTTAAATATCTATTGAACTCATTAAGTATATTAAGTCAGTAATAAACTTATGTATGTATATAAACAGCATTACGTACAAATGTATGTAATTGTATTTTTAAAGTATCTTGTTATAATTTAGTCCATCAAAGACAAACATCTTTATCAAAAAACTTTAGAGAAGTGAATTAAAAATACTTTCTTTGATTTTCTCTACCATCTTTTTATAGAGAAGAGAAAATCAAAGAAAGTATTAGAAGTTATTGTATAACTTAAATTTCAAAATGTAACTTTTATAGAATTAAAAAACATTGCTTTATTTAAAAATAATATGCACATAGAATTTGTGCTAAGTAATGCAATAAATATGTGAGAAAAGGTAAATAATATCTAGCTTAAAAACACATTAAATACTAAAAATTGCTTTTTGTGGGAAAAAAAGAGTGCATTCATTGATTAAAAATTTAATAATAAATTATTAAAATCTAACATAAATTTGCATAATAACTATCATATAAATATATAAATCTCAGAAAAAAAAGGACTAAAAATATTTAATTATTGGTTCTTTTATTATCTGCTTACCAGGTCCTCCTTTCCAAAAAGCACGTCCACCTTCTTCCCTCCATATTTTTCTCATAGCATCAAGAACACCACTATAAGTAGTTTGTCCTTCTCTTGCTTGGACTTGCAGACGAGTTTTAATGACATCTGCTGGAGTACAAAGATAAGCTGCTGGTACACCTATATAAAAATAAAGTTGATAACAATATGAAATAACTTCCAATTTGTAAAAAATAATTGTTAAATTTTAATAAATTAAAACATTAAACTTATTTATTTAAATGTGTTTATTTTATGCTGTTTTAGTTTTTTATAATTGGAATTTATCCATTTAAAATAAATATTAAATTCAAAGTGCAGAATCATAATTTATTTAAACTGAAAAATATTATCATAAATTTATCAATTTTAATTAGGCATAGTAAAGATATTGATGATAATTTTTACAAACCTAATTGCAATATCTAACAAGTAAATCTAGTTACAATGCCTAAACAAACAAAACAAAAAAAATAACATTTATTAATTTTAGTTATCAATAACTCATGTTGTAATGAATTAATTTTTTATTAAACAAGTACCAGTATCACAACAGTCAATACTTGGTTATAACTCCATTCAATTATATACAGGCATAACCCAGATTACACCCATCACATGATAAAACAAACTGCAGATATGACAGTCATATATTTCTACTCCTAATATGATCCAAATTAGCTATCCACACCAATACGACGCTTTGTTCGTTCTAAGTGTTTGTCTGGTTTTTGTGTCCAGATGTCAAGTGAAGACCAAAAAAATGTCTGGGTCTTAAGAAAATTTTGCAAATTGTCAATAATTAATTATTTTTTAATGATATAGCTGATTTTATAACTGAGTGAACATGAACAGTCTGATAATTTAATTAACTGGTTATTTATAACAACATTCCACAGTAGATAGTTCCAGTCAAGATAATGAGTCTTGAGGACAGCTTTTATTTAGAGAGAAGGATTTTTAACAAAGCCCAATTTAAGCTCAGCTGTTCTGTCTTTTAAGAAATCCTTGAGCAAGTAGAAAATATTTTGTGGTACTTTGGTATCTGATAAGTTTTAAAGTTGGGGCCACCACATATTATCAAATGTGCTTTTGACATTTAGAAATATTAACAGAGACATCAATATCTTCTTTCCTTGCTATCAAACAATTTAACAAGGAAATGCTGGAGTGTGAAACTATATTGGTCATTGCTGAAACTTTCTATGAGGTAAAACTTTCTTTAAATAATAATAATAAAAAACATAATACAGTAGAACCTCGAAAACTCGATCTAATGTGGACCGAAGGGTGGCCGAGTTTGTGAAAATGCCGAGTTATCGGGAATGGGGTTAAAAAAAATAAGTACGAGTATTTCCTCAGAAAATACTGTACTGTACTTGTACAGTATTTACTTGTACAGAATATAACAGAGAATAAACTGCCCAAATACCCTTAAACAAAGGAAAAGTACGTCCTTTATGAAGGCATAGAGCCACTACATGAAAATGAAAATTAATGAATACACTGTGTACAGTAATTTACCTGATAAGACAGACCTCA